TAGATGCTGATATATACACCGTATACAACACTGACGATGATTGCGTTTAAACTTCATGTTCCAAGCCTTCTTCCACTTTTATTTCACTTTTTATCGTTTTGTTGCTTTATCCGACCTCCAATGCCTTTACAAGCTTGTGCATGTAAACATGTATTCAAAGCTGTTCTGGAGCAAGAATCAAACATCAAACAAATTTGGAAAATGTGTTTAATTCAGCATAATAACAGCATAATACTAGGAACTGGGTCCAATCATGAAAATGTTCAACAGGAGACTGACGGTAATCGGCCTTCTCTGGTTAAGCTGATGTATGTAACTGTTGTTTTTGTCAGCCATTTGTAAAATCCACACATACTTCACTTAAACTATACATGTACATCTTAACATTATAATATCAACTTTTAAAAAGTTTAGGAATACTAACAATAAGTGTCAGGTGGTATTCTAAGATCAATACACCAACTTCATCACTATTGAGCTTTAGTTTGATAAAACAACCTTTTCAGTTGTTTAGATATTTCCTTCATTTTTAAACCATATATGACTGGGTTTAATAGAGGATGATACAGAACTGCCTGTAAAGTCATTATTAAACGCACTAATTTTGTAAGGTTGGATCCCAGTCGGACTATGATGACATCAAACGCACACAAACAGGAGAAACTGATCAACACCAGCAGATGGGGTAAGCAGGTCTGAGCTGCTTTCTTTCTGATTTCTTTAGAGCTGCAATAGGATATGATAAGTATTCTGGTGTAGCTGAAAATGATGAAATTCAGGGAGAAAAAAGCAATCAATGCCACAGAAAGAGCACCGAATACGATGTGGACTTTTGAGCTGACGCAGTACATATTGTAAATTGAATTGTTGCACAAGATCCCATCCAAATGCAGTGTACACAGTTTAATGTTGGAGCTCAGCACCACCTGCACACCCGTCACACTGGCAGGCACCAAGAAAATACTAACCGTGTTTCTCGCCATTATTGTTGCATATTGTAAAGGTTTACATATAGACACGTGGCGATCGTAGGCCATTGCTGCCAGCAGTAAAAACTCTGAGCCACTTAGAAAAAAGAGAAAAGCTTAACAGAGAAAACACTGCAAATAAATAAATAAATAAACACTGCAAATAAGCTGAATACGATACAATCTGTTTCTCAGATAGAAAATCTGACAGCAGTTTTGGATAAATGTTAGTGCTGAAAACAACAGAGTTCAGAAGCAAAGCGGCGATGAAAACATACATGGGCTCATGGAGGTTTCTGTGCATCC